CAGATACAATTCCTTTTTAATTTAATGCCAACTTTTTAATCTCTAAATGCATCAATTAACAACATGTTAGTAAAAATCAGATAAAAGTTAAAGGTTAATGCCTGAATGAATAAATAGGGATACGAGAAAACTTGTTTAGTTTCTTTCAGATTCAAGACTTATCTATTAATAACCTTTGGACCATTTTTAGTTATTTTAAAATCAGTGTTTAATTTGTACAGTTGTTGAATTAAAACAAATTAGGTGAATTTCTACTAGTGAAAGTTCTTATCTCCCTCCCCCCCAAAAAACAAACAAAAAACTAAATCAGCAGCTCCAACCTCACAGAAAACCATAAGTCAGTAACAGCTTGAACAATGCTGCCTTACAAACATTCATACAATCAAAGTCTAAGGAAAATCTCATTAATGGTACACAAAGCCAATCAGTGACTGGGTCAGCCACTTATTACCTTCTTTGACAAAGCTACTATATACCTTGTTACTAATACACAGCTTTCCACTCATCTCTCATGAGATTAATTAATCATGTAACTTTCTACTAACATTTAAAGCTGCTGCACAGGTGCAGCTGAATTAGTTCAATGACAAATATTCATTTACATAAATATCATAAACATTGTGGCTTTCAGGCAATGAAACTATAAAATTTTGTCTCTCAGGATTAGGTGAGTAAAAATTAAAATGATTTCCAATACATAACAGTTATGTTAAGGACTACAAAATCATAGAGAAAAGTATCTCACTTGACGCTTCACAAAACAAACATTGCCTTTGAATCATTGTTTTCCAAGTCAATGTTCTAATTTTCCAAGAAAAATATTTTTGGTTTTCCATAATCATCAAAAATAACAGATATAAATGTTTGAAATGCATCACTGCGTGTAAGTCACATAATGTCTATTTTTGAATGAATATGATTAAATATATTAACTTTCCAGCGATTAATGACACACCTGTATATCTATGCTTTTCACTCAACCACTGCAAACTAACTAATCCTATTATATCAAAATAAATCTACTGTCCAGTGATATTCAGATATTCTACTAATAAGCAGAATATAGCCATGGAGAAAGTTGAGAAAAATGGGAGTAATGTCTAGAAGCCTCAATGTCATCTGCTTTTGAAAAGAGTTTAAGTGTCTGAAAACAGTAAAAGATGCATCAGGGTGTGACTGAGCACTTGTTTTCTTGATTGGAGTTTAAGTGGCTTAGTTTAGCTGGTGTTTTGACCTATATTAGCTGTGTGAATTGGCGTTTTTAGCAGGCGTCAAACAGTTCCAGCTGTATTCATACCACTGGAGACAGTTTCATAACCCACAGAGACCAGAGTGAGGACATTACTCTGAACATTATCCGGCTTGCTCTGCTCCGCGTGGGACACAACAGCTTCAGAGTTTCCTGACTCTGTCCTTATCTTCTTCCTGTCTCTGGCTCGTCCCTTGCTTTTTAAAACAATCTTCCCCTGCTCCTTCACCCCCCCGCAAATCTTGCGAGATCTCTCGTTGTCGGACGAACGCAGCTTGCGTTGGCGCCTGCGAATGCGACGAGACGGCAGACCCGAGTCAACGGGGTCTGACGCCGCTGCGCCAGACAGGACGCGGATCTGCTGATCGATTACCATGACGATCATGTCTAATGCAACGTCCAACATTCCAAGACCGAGGCCATGAGTGACGTTGTCAAATGAACCGCTGTTTACTGGGTCCTTGAAACATTTTCTCATGTCCTCAAGATGGTTCCTGTGGGAAAGAGGCGAAGTGTTACACTGACGCGACTCTCAGAATCACGCTAATTTTGATTAATCGTAAGCACATTCATACTTTGTTTCAATAATTTTGGACCAGTGTTGAACTGTGTTCATGTCAGGGATGAGTTGTTTAGCCATGTTACTGTAGTCAATGTAATCATGGGAAAAATCTTTCATATCTTCACAAAGAGCTCTGGTGTCACCTGAAAATAAAACAAAAGTTATTTTAACATCCAACTTGTCAAATAAACTTTCCACGTGTCACATTTTAACCACAGACTTCAATCTATCACTGAAACTTTATGTAGCAAATGCCAGGTGTGCATTTGTATTCAGCTTTCCTGGATCAACACAGAATAAAATCGTCTTTCATGTATTTTGAAGTATGTCTCCACTAATTTTTCACATCCAGAGACTGAAGTTTTTGCCCCTAAATCTTTGCAAAATTGCTCAAGCTCGTTCAGATAGGACGTAGAGCATCTCTGAACACTTCTTTTTTAGATTTGCTACATATCCTTTAAAAGCACATCCGTCACCTTCAGTAAGCTTGGAGAAGGAGGAGGATACTGCGGTGGTTGTGCTGGGCATGAGGCCAAGGACATTCAGTGACTCCAGAAGTGTTTTCTTGCTGGCTGGGCCTCTGCTGACCCGAGTGTATGCTGCCAGAGACCGCAGGGACATCTTCTCTGGGGCCTGCAGGCGTCTTTTAATTTCATCATAGGAGATGAGATATTTTCCTGAGGATGAAGTCAGACAGAATGAGACAAATTAGCACAGCAGGGTTGGGAATTTGAAAAGCAAATTTATGCAAACTGCATACATAAATTCTGAATGAACTTAGCAAAGAGAAGGCAGACCAAAACTTTCATTGATGGTCACTTACGAGCTTTGGAACCTTTCATGTTGGGATCCAGGAGAGAAGACACTTCTGCAAACGGCATCTCGGCATTAGTAGAGTTTGTGCTTGAGTTTGCTGACACCTGCTGGTGTTGGCGGACCTCTTCCCCTTGGTGCTGAGCAGCCTGTGTCTGAACATGAGGCTGAGTGCTGTGCATTTCCAAATGGTTCTGATCTAACTGAGCCTGACCTTGTGCCTGCTGAGGGAGGACTAATGGATTTTCAGATAAACTTTGCATGTCCATTCCACTTTGAGATATGTTGCTGCCCTGCTCTGGGGATACCTGAAAGATGCTCATAACTGGCTTTACAACTGTGAAAATCATGTTTGCTTGGGGATCCAGGCCCACCATCCTGGAAGCAGGGTCCATATTTTCACAAAAATCTGTCTTTTCAAGCAAACAAAGTAAAATAAGAGGGTATAAGTACTAGCTCTGGTTTATCTAGAAGTCCTGGATTCATAATCTTTCTCCAGTCTTAATACTGACAACAATAGCTACAGAAAAAAAGGGGGGACAGTTCTTTTTGTTTTTAATCAAGAAAATACCTCTCATTTACAATATATTTTATTTTATTAATACGTGGAACTACTCCTGACTCCACAGCAGAAGATTTATTCTGAAAGAGAAAATAAAACTTGGGTTTATTTACCTGGACTCAGGAGCGGACTGAACTGACAGTCATTGTGCAAATTTGAAGCAAATGTTTAGATAAAAATAATGACTGGAAAAAGCACTGAGCATGTTACATTTCTCTTTGCACATCTAGAAACGTAACATTTTTGCCAAACGTTCTTTATACAATAGCTCAGTCTAATAGGATGGAGTGTCTGCAAACATCCCTTTTCACAGATATGTATTGTTTTATGTCGTAACACTGTTTTAAACTTCTTCACAACAATAATGCTTGTAAATGCATTGACCTTTGTAGTTTGCCAATCAAAAAAAACAAAAACAAAAAAACAACAACATTGCAACATGTTTTGATGTGATAAATAAGAAAATATCTGTCTCAAAATGGAAAAAACTCAGGTGCTCAATCAAAAGACCGAACAACCAAAAACGGGCGAAAACTGTATTTTTGGGCTTAAGAATGAAATTCTCTACAAATGTTTATAGATTGTTTTTTTAAACGTGGGTTAAACGTAAAAAATAAACTATTAAACTCCATAGAAAAGTATGATTTTGTGTTCAAATGTAGCTTAATTGTTTTTATATGACTGTTTAGCGTCGAAGTAAACCAAAATTTAACGACTTAGCCGTGCTGACTATGCAGCAATGCTGTAAACTTTAAGCGGTTAGCTTCAATAAAACCGCCGGATTCAACGTTCCAAACAGCCATCATGGCTGCCAGCCGCTACTGTTGCTGTTTCTGTCTGTTTCGGCTGCTGTCAAACGTCAAAGGAAAATGACCTAAATCGGCAGAGAAAACTGCGGTCCGTGTTGACTTCCAGATACGCAAGCATCCTAATTTAAGTTGTGACTGATGACGACGGCGCTACTCACCGAACTGACGTCTCTTTTTTTCCCCTAAAAGGCCACTGATCCTAGAACGGTCCGAGTTGAAGTCAGCGACATTTTCTCTTCTTCTCCACTGTTGCTTCAGCGGGTTGCAAATCAGCCATACGTGCACCATCATCCGAGACGGGAATCTAAGCTCTGATTGGTCAACTGACCGATCGATCAAGCTGTAAGCGGTCAGATCAAGCTGTAAACGTTTTTTATTGGACAAGAAAAGCGTCGGTAGACGTTACCGGGCGGTAATTCTAAAATGCACTTTTACACAGACAAAAATTTTATATTTTGGAGTAATTTTGAAAATTAAACTTGTCTTTCTGATTTTTTAAAAATAAAACCTATCAGTCTTAAAAAATAAAAATAAAAAATTGTTATAGGCTAATTTTGCTTTCAATTTTATTTCGTGTTTGTATTTTGTTTCTGTTGTTACAGGGATCTATATTTCCAACAACATAACAAATGATGTTGGAAATATGAGGCATCAAACAGAAATTTGTTAAGTTGAAATACATCGGCGTAAAAGCCTTAAAATTAAATGCTTTTCTTTTCAAAATGCTACTCTGCCATCTAGTGGGCATTTTAGAATGTAGCAATGATATATACAAATTGACAATTTCGTTCTTATTCTTCTGAAATGTGCCCAGGTTCTGCCTATGTTTAACTCGGATTTGTAAGGAGAAACTGACAAAATCATCTCGCCATCCTAAATTGTTAAATGTCAAAAATACCAAATAAGTCAACAGGCAGTAGATCAAAAGTACACAATTCAGTCAATTTTATTTAGGTACAAATACAAAAATGTACAAAAAAAAAAAAAAAAGAATAGAAAGGAACAAATATGAAAACTGTCAATATTGTAAAAGAAAAAGGCATTTGTTAAACAGTTAATTAAAAGCTGAACCAACCAATCTGGAAAACAAAACATCTTGTGATGTTTGTGTATACATTTACACAAACATGATATTCAATAAGGAAGTATTTGGTTTAAAAAGGCAAAGACCTCAGGTGGGGAAAGGATATAGAATCCACAAAATACACACATTTAGGTTTTCTCCACAAATATCAGTTCTTCAGTCTAACAAGAACAAAAAATAATGAATACATTTTACCAGTAGAGCATAGCTCAGTGTACTAGAACACTGATATTAGGACGCATGTGAGAATTTTCTGTGCATTGTTTTGATACATGAAGTCAGACTGTATTTACATCCTGAAGCTGAGCTTAGAGCGTCTAAGATTTGTTTTTTTAAGGTTTTCATAACAAAGACCGAAAATACACACACACATATATACACACATATAAACAGAAACAATCACAACAAACAACTGAGTTGCGTTCACAGTGAGCTTCACATCTTCGCAACTTCATCAAAACGGAAGATATTCAGCACGGCAGTGGACTAAAGTGAAGACACGGCACAGGACAGAATGGGCACTGTAAATGTACAAATCTGTGGTGTCTTCAGGTAACTGGATCTTAGAGTGGCCTCATACATGGTGCACATAAAAGACAACACTTGTGTTAAGACATCCAGCCTTCGTCTGCTTACTGTTTGTCATTTTTTGTCATAGTTTTTCAAACTCAGAGTCCCTAACTCTGAGTTTCAGGCTCAGCTTGTGTGGCTGTGAGTGCTGGAGTTGGGCTCAGTGTCTGCGAGTGCGCTGGGCCCCGGTGCCTGTGGTGGTGACATAGACAAGAGGATGGGGCTGCCGAAGCTGGGGTCCTCTCTTCAGGTTATTAATGCTTGCTGTGGATGACTCAGCATTTGTTCCTATGGAGACAAATGCATAGAATAAAGAGATTGAACCATAAAGAATGTCACTTTCTATCAGATAACTGCTCACCTGTATGTGTGTGATTGCTGTGGTGAGGCCTGACTTTGGCGATAGGAGGGACCCCTCTGTACTGTGGACGCACCATAGGGGCCTGGGGTTGGCCGTTAATATGAAGATGAGGGTCCGATGTGCTGTCCAGAGGCCGAAACCTCTGAGCTTTGATGGCTTTGGTCTGAGGCAGCTGCATGAGAGAGAAGTGAGGGAATGTTAGGACTGAAACGACAAATTAGATGCCAGAGCATCGATGAGTCTCTCAGCCAAACAAACTGTCAAAGCTGTCGTAGACCTGATGACTGGTTTTCGGTTTACAGTTGTATCATTTTGGTATTTCACTAAGTTCCAAATGTGGCAGTCCAAGAAGTGAGTTTTGAGAGAGTAGCTTGCACTTCATGAGAATTTCAAGTAGCCAAAATCATAGCCACTTGAAATTGGCTATGATTTCAAATTCAAAGCCGTCCAACAGTAGGACAGCTATGATGTAGGCCAAAATGATTTGAGACAAAGGTGGACGAAAACCTTCTAAATATTTAACACTTCACAACATTTAATAACAAATTAAAATGACTTACTGCTTGACCAGTGACCTCAAAAGATCTTGAGCGTCTTTTCTTGCGACGGGCTTCAAAGTCCACCTCACGAGGTGTTTGGTTCTTGTTGGTAGGATGGTTGTTGCGAGGACGTGTCCAGGTAACATGCAGGCCTGGTCCCTCCCCTGTGCTGCTGGACAGGTTATCATCAGAGGTGGCGTGTCTCAGTTCAGGGCTTGGCTGCCTGCCGCGCCGCAAAGATAGACCTCTAGGGGGCCCCTCGATTAAAGAAAGGTTGCTTTTCTGCTTTTTGTGGTCAAGGGGAGAGGGGGCAACAGGTAACCGAAGGACATCCACCTCCAGGGCTTTGGAACGTCGACGGGCTGCTTTTACCACGATGTTCTGAACCCCTTTAAGGATCTGCTGCCGTTCTGTGCAGACATGGTAAAATAAATACTTTATGGTGAGGAATAAAATTCATATGAAATATCTTCTGCTTGGTTTTGGTTTAAGATATAAAATGTAATTTGTGCCAGGGAGGGTATTTTCTGCATGTTAGCAAAGTAATTACCAAACACTGAGCGCATAGTGCTCCATTAACTTGTCTCTTGGTAGGATTATTGCATTGCACTGTTTCATAATTTGTCACATTACAACAATATACCTGTATTTTATCTAGATTTTATGAGAGAAACACAAAGATATCCATAAATGCAGAGAAGAAGAATCACCACAGCCTCATCATGTTTTTATGTTGTCTCCAGGGTATTAGGTTTCCGTCACCCATACCGTTTAATATCCAGGACAAAATGTGTTATTTTGGTGTCCAGAGAACTTCCTTTCATACGTTTAATTAAGTTTAAGTTTTCTTTTCATCCTTTATGTGAAATCCCAACTACTAGCTACCTAATGTGTATATTACATTAGGAAGTAGTATATACATTATTTGTATATATTACATATAATGTTCAGCCCCTCAACTTGTTCCTAGGTCTTCATGATGCTGTTTATCCTCTAATGTTCTCTACCAAACCTCTGAGGTCTTCCCAAAACAGCTGGATACAAACCAAGATTGAAATAAAGAAAACTAGACTCTTGTCCATTTGTTAATTTCTGAAGGCAGATCATTAAGTAGGTTTGTGTTGCATTCACAATCTTCATCTTCTATTTATATGTTCAGCATGTGATGTGAAGACATGTGCTTGCTGTTTGGGATACTAAAATAAATGACGTGACTCATGTAGCTAATTTGTCTCCCCACGCTGTTATCTTAGAACAGATGAGCTGGACATTTGAGGGATTGTTGGGATAAATGTCTCATGCTGTGTTTTCACAGGACAGTCACTGGAAATACTTTAATGAAAACAAACAAACAAAAAGCTTCTCTGCAGGTATTAACAAATCCACAATGAATACTATATCTGAATACTATATCTTCATAATTTGTCCTGTCAGAAGGACCTTACCATTTCGAGAAATGGTCACATCACCCCCAGCTTCGCTGCTCTCGGGTGATGAGTCCAGTTGGCTGCTGATGCTGTGGCTGAGATGGCTGTAGCTTGTGAAGCTTTCAGGAGCCAGAGGCTGCAGCTGCAGACATTAGGATCAGAGGGACTCATTGCGACCAAACATTCACTGCAGAGCTACTTTGACATTGTTAGTGTCGTTTCAAAATCAAATCAAGTACATCTTTACTCTGGAGATCCAAAAGTTCTTCTTGAGATTTTAAAACAAAAAGAAAATCTAAAAGAGGTAAACATTTGTGAGAGCCTAAATGAAACAGAGGGTGGTGCTGTTGACAAAGAAAAGAACTTGTCAGAACACTTTCATGTTTTGCATGTTCTGAAATCGATTTCTGATGTTAAACTCGCATATGATGTAGATGTAATAGACAGATGGAAATATTTTAAGTGTTTATTTCTGTAAATAAATTTTCTTAGGAACTCTTAATGTTTATATAAAATGATACAATATTAAACTTTCTCATTTTGAATTGACTCACTTTTTGATAATATAATTTATTGAGAGATACCTCAGCAAATTATATCACCAGAAACAAAGCAGAGTAGCTGGTGTATAGGAATTGTCCTTACCTCTCTGTTGCCTTTCCCATTTATGTGTATTGGAGGAGGGGTCATTATAGCCGAGTTCTTTATCTGCTTGGCATGAGGACTGCTTTTAAACACCCTGTCCCTGAGGCACAGAAAATATGAAATCAAGTCGACTTTTAAGTGCATCTTATGAGCAAAGAATATGAAAATTATCTCTTCTTACGGCTCAGCTTCAGGGAGAATTGGGGGTAAGGTGTGTCTGCGCATTCTGGCTTGACCTCGTCTGTTCTCTGTGAACATGTTACGTAAGCTCTCCTGGTCAGAATCTACATCCTGGGTGTAATCGCGACCTTGACCTGGCAGAGAGATCTTTGGTAAAGATCCTTCCTGCAAATAAGAATACAGAAAACACCTTCATAATTTGTCCTGTCAGTTTAATTCATATCTAAGCATCTTGACTGATTCGACATGACTGTCACCTTGATGGTTTGTCTGGTGGTCACCTTGTCCAAGGCTACAGCTCTCTCCAGCTTCCTCTCATCCAGCTCCCTCATGTACGTCTCATATAGTTCCTGGAGGTGCGGTGGTACAAGCAGGCTGTGCTCTGAAACATGCAGAGGGACACATGTACATGGGTGCTATTGCCGCACCAATAAACTAGTTTTATGTACAGGCATTTAAAGCGTTGCACACTCAGAATGGATGAGTAGCAGAAACTCCCACAGGATGATTTGTGAGTGCTGAAAACAAATCTTCAGCAGGTAACATCCCGATAAAATAGTTTTATTAAATATCTTCTAAAGTAGACATCCACCCAAATGGTGCAGCGTGAAGAGATTGTGTTTTGAGAAACCGAGATTATTTTCTGGTCCGAGATGAAAATTTGATTACTAGCCCCTTTAAGTTGTCAAGAATAATTCTGATGGAGCAGTGCTTGAAGCTGAGGCTGCCTGTACCTATCTAGCGGCTGATCATATTGGTGTTACTAGCACTAGTGTGAGGGACCTCAGAAGGAACTGAACTGATCAGGACTATGGCAGTCAACCTTAACTCCAGGAAAAATATGTTTTGTTTCTACGCTCCTGTGCAGGTTTAAACACACCAAGTTTTTCTATTCAAGAGTATGCCATGTTGCCACTCAAGCCTGTCATAGGGTTTCAACCTATGACAGGCTGAAACCCTGTCATATTAATTTTTGTCAGGGTTAATAATCTCTGAGAAATGTACACAGCACACATGGATTTTTCAACGGATAACTGAAAAATCTTTAGACGAGTTCCATGCAAAGGTCAAACACAGTATATTGATTTAAAAGTAAATTACCATCTATGAATTGTCTCTGTTGCTGAATGATCTCATCACACAGGTGTCTGTGTTGCTCAAAGCGCTGGACTACAAAGTTTTTCTGCCGGATGACGTTGTCTTTGATCAGCGCGTGGGACTGCATCTCTGCGTTCTCGATCTCCAGTTCGTGGACCTTGCAGAGGAGGCCAAGGACTTCACGTTGCTCCTCTGAGCTCACCCTGCGAGGAAGAAGCTCCTCCAAGCGCTGAGCTCGATCCCGGAGCTCCAGAAACCTCTGCTCCAGTAAACCCTTCAATCAGTGGTTATTTTCATTCAGTACAGGAGAACATCAGAATGCATTCTAAGCCTAAAATTTTGAAGAAGCAAACCTTCTGATTTTGAATCTTCTTCTGTTCAGCCAAGAGAGTGACTAGGTTTGCCCGAGCCACTGCTACCTCCCGGGTCTCTGTGCTGTCTGGGGGAGACTCTGGGGAATCCGAATCCTTTTCACTTTCGTCTTTATTGACACTTTCCTTCCTTTTTTCTGCACGCCACTTTCTCCTGCGCTTGCTCTGCTCCTGCTCCCAGCTATAGCACATAACATATGTACATATTGTTATGAAGGTTTTTACTGACAGTTGCAATTACGTATTCTAAAGCTTCTAGGCACAAATATGGTACAATAATTCTTTACTTTGAATAGATTTTCTAGTCAAGGAATTTTATAATTAGATTTGCTTCACTGTTAACAGTTAATAACATGAAATAGCAACAGAGCAATACTTGCTGTACACTAATTAATTCAATTAAACTAAACCAGAGAAAGGATAAAAGTCTATTTGACTGAATTAGGAATATTAACCGGAAGACAGTCGCTAAAATGTGTCAGTCTGGATTATTAAATTTTAAATAACAAGTGTGCTCTGCGGTGAAAAGAAACAGCAGAAATCCGACTGACTCTGCAATGGTGACAAGGTGTTTAGAGGTGTCGATCTGGATCTCCATGTTGTTGTTCTCCAGCTCGATCAGGCTCTTCCTGATCTTCATCTGCTGCCGGAAAGCATCCAGAAGCTGTTCCCTCAACTCGTCCATCTCTGCTCTGCTCTGCTGGCTGGAGTGGGCTTGGACCTCCGCTGAAAGACAATAGAAATACAACAAGAAAGAGAGAAAGAAGGAAAGAAAGAAAAAAACATGAATATAGCTTTCAACAGATGTTGAGATGTGTTTTTTACTCATTTAAAGAACAGACGATCAAACTTACCCTGGATATTTCGGATGTCAGCTCGGTCAGAACCGACCTGCCGGCTCGCCTGCTCTGCAATTTTCTTTTTGAGCCGCTGGATTTCACAGCGGAGGTCAGAGATGATGTTTGTGTACTGAGCAATGTGGTATGACACATTTATTAGGTTCTTCTTCACCTAAAGCAAACAGTGATTGGAAACAATATGTCTTTTAAAATCCAATCCACTTCAAGGTGAGCCTTTGTTAGGGTGAAATAAAAGTTTACCCGTGTACGAATGCTTTTGGCACGGTCAGCATATGTCAGCGTGTTTCGAGACTCCTCAAAAGCTGTAGAGGCGGGGCTAATATGGGCTATCATCACTGTTCTGCTGTTCCCACCCAATGAGTCCTGTTGTTGAAATTTGAGAGACATTTTTGTGAATACAACAGATAGTGGCTTACAAGTTTTTGTGTGTTTTTTATAGGTTCAGTCTTATGATTTAATACAACAAAATCACTGTGAGGTAGAAGGAAAATTATACTTGGTGTTAAGACTATATCTCAACAACAAATTTGGAAAATGTGAAATGCATTTGCATTTTACTCGCCAGAGACAATCCTTGAAGAAACACAAATATGCTGCACACTTGTCAGTTTGTTAATTCGCAGTACACAATTCTGCACTACTTTGTCTCTGCCTGTCAAAGAAGCTTGTTTGAATTTTGTGCAAATGGATGACATCTTTTGCCAGGCACTGTATAAAGAAAGGAATCTTTTTTCAACTGCAGTACCTTCAGGAGGCGAGTCAACTTGCTGTCTCGGTAGTTGACGTACTTGTTGCCATTTTTGTCACTCAGGGCGTTAATGCAGTTGCCCAAAGCCAGGAGGGAGCGATTGATGTGAGCTCCTTCTTTCAATCGCTGACCTCTGTTCTGAGTCTGAAAGAGGCAGAGATCGATGAGTGAGAAAACCTCTGAACTCACAGGGGTTTTTATCACTTTGTCCCTGTGACGGGGGTCAAATGAAAGCTTTCAGTAAAAGGAACTTGAGGGAGACAGGGAATAGCAAGCAACAAAGGCATCCAACTAGTACCAGGAAGATTTTATTTATATGGTGAATTCAGTTGAGGCAAAAAGTCAAAGAGAAGACCAAGACTGAACAATTTCACCTCACTTCAGTGAAACACATTTTTCTTACTGAGAGAAAAATAAGACACATAATTCATTAAAAAATTTGGATTTAGTCATATTTAGATCAAACAAGGACTGCATCAAATTTTAAAGCCAGAAAAACAAAACATTGATTTTGATTGTTAAAGTGTATAAGTAGTTATGATATACTTCTCTGAAACAAAACGAGCATTTCGAGAGACGTCCTCCAAAACAAGAAGGTGTTACCAAATACATTGCACGTGAAACTGCAGGTTGAGTCTGAAAAGCCCTCACAATAACCACAGAGCTTGACAGACCTTCATAACTCAAATAAACAGCTGTGTGGCTGCTTATTGGCAAGAAAAATAAAAAAGATTCAGTGAGTAACTTTCAAATAAAAAATATTCTAAACAGGAAAATGGTAATATATCAGTGCAAGTAAAATGGTGAAAGGAACAGATTTCTTTGAGTCTCCGGACTAACAATTTGGAGCTAAAAGGAGAAATAACTCAAACCCGAGGGATGTGAGCACACTATCCCAGCCTTGACTGGAGTAAAGCTAACAGCCAACCCACCAAAATGTCAACAAGGGTTGTCTATGAGCATGAAGTTTCATAAATTTTTTTTTTCTTTTACAGAGAATTTGCTTTGACATTTTTTTTTCTCCATTTCTGTATAGCAAGCAACAGAGAGACAGAGAGAAGGCTTGGTCTGTGATTTCATTTTGGTTCTGAATCTCCCTTCCATTGACCGCAAATGTAACATCTACTAAAGTGTCTTTTTAGAATCAAGCAACAATTGTTAAGGAGAGATTAAAGACAGATAAGCTTAAAGTGTTTGAGTGGAGTGACTGTTGATGTTCTGGGGGAAACACTTTGTATTAAATCAGCCTGAACTATAACCTGGAGTCCTATTTGTGGTTGAGAAAGCCTGCAGAACATACAAAGAGGATCTCATCCAAGAAATTGTGACAGCCATCACCTGCAGGAGAGGATTGAACTAAATGAGAAGATTTACTTCATTTTCGGGATCTAAAAAATCAGAGATTAATTTTTGTTCATAAAGTTGTTGCAAATTGTACTGATCGTGTAATTCTACATTATGGGAGTTGGCCCCTAAACTGTGATGTTGCTATGATTAAAAAAGAAATTACAACAGCCAAGCAATAAAAAGAATAATTACTAGCTGTTACAGCTGCCCAATAAATTTGATGAAATGGACGTATTAAAGATTATGAAATGGAACTCGTGTACCAATAGTCACTGGGAAAACTCTGAAGTATGATTCACATAAGTCTAATCAAAGTTGACACTACTGATATATGCATTTGATAATCTGAGTGGTTCATGCAGCATTTTGTCACACTACAACCACAAACTTATTTTTGGGGGGACTTTAAGCAATACACCACCACAAAATAGTGCATAGCATTTTCACTCAATTCGTAGAATTCATGCTTTTTCTGGAGGGACATTAGGGAGAAAATCCAAGTAATGGGAGAATACGCCAACACTTTATGTATTTTATATAAAACACAATCTAAATGGAAAAAAAAAAATCATTTCACTGTGTAATCATTTATTACACAAATCCCAGTAAAATTCATTGATGTTTGTAGTTGTAACTTGAGAAACTTTGAAGACTATGAGTACTTTTGCAAGACATTGTAGTCTCTCATAAAATGATTATCAGCTTGACAAGTGAAATTGGAAAATAAGCCAACAGGGGAAGCTATCAATAAGATGAAGAACAGTGTACTCCACAGTGCTATGTTCAATAACATGAAAAGAGTAGAAGAACTTTGAATTTTGAACTTAATGTTATCAAAAGATATCTAAATACAAGCACAGAGTGCCAAATCTACCCACCTGAGCAGCTCTTTCTGAGCCAGCGAGGTCAATCATGAAAAGCCGAGCAAAGCGGACCTCCTGCAACACGTCACGACAACGGCTCTGTTGCTTGACGGCAACCTGCAGCACAGCGTGGGAACGAGACGATGTCTGATTAGCAGCTGTTGGCTCCTGTGTGCGCTGCTTGTTTCCCTTCATTAGCAGCTCCATGATCTGAGGACACAGAAGTAAGGCAGTCAGGAGTGTTCATAGCTTTTTAACTGTGTGATGAAACCGCACAAGATATCCTCTCACCTCCTGGGCATTGATGGTCGACACTTCTGTGATGCCTGCAACCTGAATCATGCCTTTAGAGTCTTCTCTTAGATCCAAGAAACCTGAAGATGGGTTCAGCAGGTCTCTGATCATCTCATTGTAGATCTGTAAATATATAGATATAAATGTAAAACATTCTTCTGACAGCATTAATCAGTTGGAAGAATTTGTGTTCAAGCACAGGTAATAAAAATGCAACATGCATTTTTTTCTGCAATTCAATTCAATAACAAAACTCAAATAAATTACCGGTACACACAAAATGGCATATTTTAAGCACTTATTCTACTACTAATATTTTTTAAGCATATGGTGTTGCTGGTTAATACTACTATATAGCGTAGTAATTTAAAAAGATTGATAGACAATCTCAAAAATCAAACAAAAAAAAATAATCTCTACGGGGAATGAATCCATAACACATTCAAAGAAGTGATCAAATTCTGAATATTTATCTAGCAGGAGATTTACTCAGCATCAATCAAATTGCTTACACATCAAGCACTTATTTTATAATCAAATATTTCAATAAACAAGGCCAAACTCAATAGGAAGCTGTACCAGTATTTCTACAAACTTGTAGAACAGAATAAAATGGTTTCTTTAATATAAATGCTTAAAATATAATCCAAATTGATTTAAGCTTTTAATATCATTAGAGTTCTTTAGTGTCTCTCTTAAGATTAAAGGCATAGTTTGAATGGCATAAAATTAGATATTAATAATTAAGTTTGAAAAGATAGTTTGGGAAAAGGAAAACAGAGAAGAGAAGTTTCCAAGTAACACTGGACATCTAAAGATGTGAACCAGAACATCCAGAGTTAAAACAGAAAATTATCCTCGTTTTGTGACTCATTAATTTAGTTAGACTGAAAATGTAAATAAACTCCATCTCCTGGATGGAACTGTTTTTCTATTCAAGGCTTCAGACAAGAAAAAAGATGACAGATAAACCAGAGCAACTAACAACATACTTATGTATAACAATTACAAAATCATTGGCAACAAGTTAAAACAAGATGTGCCAAACACAACTTTTTGAAAAGTTTGTCATTAGCTGAAAGTCTTAAACATCAAAATTGAAAGGAATTAGTGATTTAATTATTTTTTCTCTATGAAATGCATCAATACCATGTCAGGGTTTTTTTTTTTTTCTCAGACTGTAGTTACTGACAAAAATCAACAGTTCAAAGATATCCAAGATCCTGGTATGATGTCGTTATCTCACAAGTCCAAGAACATTTTGGATAATGATAAAATAATTGAAACCTTTCAAGAGACATTCAATAGAAAGCAGAAACAATATCCTGAAAAGTGACCACACAATGAAATTTTAGGACACACTTATTGCCAAACTCACTTTTAGCCAAAAGTATACTAGCAGTATGCTGTCATTCACACTGACATCTTAACATTGGCCATCTTATTTTTTACTTCCCCAGCTCTCATTTCAGAAGGAGTGTAAAAGATCTTGGGGTATAATGTAATGCTACCAGTTCTGAAAGGTGTGCTCAATAACACCACAATAGACAACTTTGAAGTTAAAATTAGATATATTGCATTCTGACATAAATGAGGAAGAACTGCAGGATATATTGGTGTGTTCCTGTGCTGCAGTGATTGCACACGTGACAGACAGCGAGATCCAAACAAGAGAAGCAACAGACGTGCACTTTGCTCAATTCATCCATAAAATGCCATTTAACCTCTTCACTAACAGGCGGCGGCAGTAACAGATTGCTCCCTGGAAACTGCAAACACACACGTCACACATGCTGTCATTTGAGGATTCAAAGTTGCAAAATGAATGCAGGTCAGAAATCTTGTTCTAAATGCAGTTTCTGACATTTTAATGGAAAAGAATTTCACTCCCACCCACTCAAAGAGAAACTAAAAAGCGACGCTGCAATAAATTTGTCCGTCAGCGTTTATAATGACAGCGTCTGGCAGTGAAAACAAAAGCCATAATTTTGATGCCAAATGCAAAAACCAGCAAAAATAGGCTGAAATTGTGCAAGACAAGTGCTTGTTTGTGTCACTTTGATTTTCAGTTGAAGGCTGACTGCCCTTAGTGCCCAGGACTTTGTCATTAAGTTACTTTTGCTACTCCAATTTCTTCTTGACAGCCAGAGAATGGAGCAAATTGTGTTAAACATGGTTTCGTTATAAATCTAGTTAATATTCTATATCTACCTCTTCAGAGAGAGTCAATCCGACCTGTACAAACGAACTGAAGTGATCGAGAACAAGTAGATGATAGAGAAACAAATAAAAACGCTTCAGACAGCTGAAATCTCTCAGGTTTGTCAAAAGTCTGTATAGCGAGTCGCCAGGGCCTTTCACAAACCTTGAAAATGACATTCATTTGTGTTCAGTCAACATCTGTTATGAAGCTCTTGGGTGTATTGGGTTGGATAAGCAATTAATCAAGATTAATTTTGTACAGACAAAACAATACATTTATAGTAACATTTACTGAAACAATGCAGGGTTAAAATATACGAATCCCTGTTGGGGCTAAGGTAATGTCATCATATAAATGTAAAGTTTTGTTGGGGACAAGATCAGCATTAATCATGGGTATTAATTTTCATGGCAAAAAGTCAAAGTTTGACAACAGGACAAACTCAGGTTTTTGATTATATTTAGTTCCTTAAAATTTAAAAGAATAAAACCTTAATCAGATTCATGGGAATGACCAGGATGCATTTTAAGTCATATTAGTACTATTACACTGAATATAGCTATCATTCAACTTCATTACGCAGCCCGAGATAAACAGATGACCCACTTTACTTTTACCTAATTGTCTAGTTATATTGCCTGTACGATCCCTTAGGATGTGAAACTGAACATGTTGCTCTACATCGAGCTTACTTACTCAATTGGACAGTAATTTTGGTTCGGTAAGTACATGATGTTGAATTATTGTGCTCAAAATTTCTTCTCGAAAACAATTGCACGCTGACTCAACTCTCAGAATGAAAGACAATGCAATGCTTTTTCCACATCTAGATAGTGGTTTGTATTTTTTTTCTTTTTATCCTTTTCGCAGAGAATGCAGATGTTCCCAAATTAAATGGGAAGAATATCACCTTCTGGACCCCAGATATCCGTTCAAGTTCTGAGGCCTGCACAAAGATATTCTCAACATTGGAAAAATACCAAATTTAGCAACAACACCAAAAAAAGAAATATTATTTAAAGGGAGCCTATTGAAAATATTTGGATTTATTTTAATGTTTTAAATATTTATGTCATTTGGACAAGTCAGTTTTTATGCATTTCTCAAAACTTCATCTAGATTCGTCAAGAGACTTATTTGCATTTCTTGGAAATCCATATGTGTACAAACTGGTATTTGGAGCTGCACTCCAGGGACTAGTAACTAATATTTTTTGGCATTGCTTAACAAATAAAAATCATTTAGGAAAGGTTTTGGGAAATGTTCAGAACACCAAAAAAGCTCTTCATTTGACACGAGAGAAAAAAGAAAAAGAAAAAAGTCCTGCATTTGAAAGGGTCTTTTTATCTTCTTCAGTGCTTGTGCCTGAAAATAAGAGACCACTCACAGCATTGTAAAGTTCTACCTCTATGACACAAATGCACCAGCTTCATTGTATCTGGTGCTGTTAAGGGAACTAAATGGACAAGTTGAGCTGTTCCTGCTTGTCTTTAATGAGGTGTGAAGCTGAGTCCAGCAGGCACGCAGAAAAATGAGCATAATCAGTCCCCAGCTAATTACCCACAGACAAAACAAGGCAAAAAGTGGAGAAGAAAACTGTTCAAAGGCGTAAGATGACAGAAACAGCAGTTCAGAAAAAGCAACACAAAGAGCGAAACACTTACTGTTCAAAGTTGAGCATCAAGGACATTGTTTTGATCATAAATAAGCTTGTAATGATAGCCCAACATTTATAGTTTTTTATAGCATTTATATTATGTGGGTTAGAATGTGTCAAATTCCAGGACTAAATCCAAAAGAGAATGCGTGATAACATTTGAAAAATTACCATTAGTCCTAGTCAGTATTATTTGACTAACCGTGAGCTAATTTTCAAAGAAGAAAGGAAAAAGATTTTAGTTTGTAAACATGAACAGCTAAAAGGCACATACCCCCATAAAATTGCACGTGTAATTCCAGGCACATCTACTTAGCTCTCAGGGGTTCTAAACAAATGCATGGGACACTGCTCAAATTTTTATGAAAGCTATGTATTATTTTCTTCCTAATTCCCAAATATGTAGTACTTTGTGTTACTACATGTAAATAAAAATCCTAAAACAAATATATGTAAGTTGATTGTTGTAAAAAAAAAGAAAAGAAAAAAGGAAAGGCCTACATGTTACAAAACAACCAACTACCAGTATTCAAAGTAAACAAATGAATGATTTTTTGAAAAAATCATTAAATTTGTGTATAGTGATTTGACTGAATAAAATGGTTTGACACCTGCATTAGATGAGTCTGCTATCCTAAAATGGGTGTAATGTACATGAACTTTCTTGTAGATAAAGGATTTACCTCAAGGTAGGACATTGACACGCTGTACAGCATGTCATCACTAGTCTCTTCGATGGCACGAAACAAGTCATTCAGTGTGCGGACATAGATTCCTGGCTCTTTGTCAGTGCCTAACATGGTGTATGTCTTCCCACAACCTGGAACAAAGCATGACAATTTATTTATTAGGTCCTAAGTACAGTTCTTACCAACATGTTCTTGTTCTTATAGAGCACAGACAAAGCATGAGTCTTTTTTTTGTTCTTGTGAAGAAAAAAAAGGGGTCTAAGCTCAAGCAATTATTGATTATTTTTCTCCACCATATGTATATTAAAGGTTAATATAAAAATTGTGTGCTCCACAGAGCACAAAGAAATTAATATTGCTTTGAAAATATCGAATAATTTTTTCCAGCATGGGAAGATTTGCAAATCTGTTATTAAGCTAAATGCTTAAAGGGGAGTATTATGTATTTTTCTGGGCACACAGTGCCATTTTATATCACAGTCAAGTAACTATGTTAGCTTCAGTTGTATCTGATGCCTTGAAATTGGCCCGGGTCTCTTTAAGACATTAAAGGTTTTGAACTTTTAAGTAAAGTTACAAGTTCACTAATGGATATTGACTTATTTTCACTAAAAGGTTGCTGTCTTAATATCTTCCTCAACTAGTCTTTGCCAGCTTAAAAAGTCTTTAAAAAGCCTTTTACTTCCACTACAGGCGAAGCATGACTCATTTTCTCATTATACATTTGCTGAATAAACAAAAAAGATCTCAAAAAGGTTTCTCTTCATCTTCCTGCGAGGGTGCTGACTAATTCCGGCTGATCGCATAGTGAGGGTCAGCATAATAATACATGCACTTCGAGAATAGCGGCCTGGATGTCTGGCTAGGTCTTGTAGAAAACACAATAGACAGATTTAAACACAAACCTGTGGGTCCATAGGCAAACACAGTGGCATTGTAGCCTGATATGAGGCCTTCAATGAGCCCTTTGGTTGTAGCTCGGTAAACCTCTTCCTACAAATGAGGAAGAAAGCAAAAAGAAATAATGACAGGAAAAAAATTAAAATGTTGCTCATTTATTTTAGCTTTACTCAGCTTATAATTCAGGTGAATTCTCTTCTCTAAATAACCTGACTAGCCGAGAAGTCGAATGCCACGTCAAACATGTAAGTCTTCTCCCTGGAGCGGTTGGCACGCAGGATGTCGTCTGGATCTTCCATAGGGTCCATCAGAACCACCATCTAATAATAATGAGGAATGAAAAAGACTCATTGAATGTGGTGTCAAAGCCCACTTTGACATCTATTTATTCTTGATGGTGTGTGTCTTTGTCAGTTATGCTGTGATGCCATGCTAATGAGCAAATTTGATCTCAATTTACTAAACTGATCATTGAAAATTATGTCACAAGAATTGTCATGGATGGATGGATGACTAAAACATTTAGGTAATAGGATACGTACTTATGTCTGCAACAACAACCATTTTCATACCATGTTACCTTTTCTATATTCAGTTAAACCACATTCCAGACTGAATAGGAATGCTGTAAAGATATCAGTGTAAACATTAAGCCTCAGAAGCCATTTGTAGTGGCAAGTGATGGGGCTAGTTATTTTCAAAGACAGATTTTTGTTCCAGATGTTTTTTGTTGCAGCGTAAATATGAAAATGAGACACAGTACTTAATACAGTTATCAGCAACAGCGGTCTTAATGGTCCATTACTCATTTGCTTGGAAGATTCCAAATGTGTCTAGTTCCTCCAAAAGTAAAAAAGGGTGCATTAAATTTTCAGTAAATTCAGTCACTGTTGGTATTTTTTTCTTTCATTTTAATAGAGGTACTCCGCAGTCTCTACGAAAACCCCCTGGAGTACAGACATCACAAATTAGTCTTTCACTAATCAAAAGTTCTCTTTCTGATCACGCTGAAACGATGTTGAATAAAAATGAAAGAACAAATAGAAAGAAAGAAAAAATAGAAAGAGAGAGCTTAAGAACAAGGACAATTTGTAATGTCCACAGTTTCCCATGATTAAAAAGGTTTTGTAACCACAGTAAATGTCACATAAAACCGTATTTTACAGAAAGAACAGATAAATCTTATGAAACAAATACATTGCATATAGGCATTTCTTTTTTTGTCATCAAATAACACAGTTATACAAATTATTACCTATTGCTTTTCAAAAACAAAAGAAAACTGAATGTCAAACAAAAATAAAAAAGCATCCTTGTGTCAGAGACAGCCTTGACAGCACTGGCACACAGCATGTATGTGATTATGAAGACACTGAAATGTCAAGTTGTTCTTATTGTGCTGCTTGACAGAGCCTTTGTCTAATACATAACCTTTTGTTTTCTCGCCTCTGAAAACTGTGCATCAAAGAAGAACACAACAAATGTCAAACAAAAATGTCAAACAAATATCCAACAAATGAATAAATAAAGACAGTGTAAGTGTCAGTGTAAGTGCAAGTGAGATGGAAATATTACAGTTAATGGAAGAAACTCCCTGTCATCTTGCATATGATAGACAACAAGAGCAATAAAAATAAGGAAGCCTTCTGTCCTCACATTAGATGCTGCAAAACGATGGGGCAGCTGGGACTTCACCTGGTGTGATTAGCTGGTCAGCTTTGTTCAGCAGCAGACCCTGAGAGTCCTCGGAGCCCTCTAACACTGAAGCACACGGCCTGTTTGATGACGCCCTAACCATCAAGCAGCTCACTTTGAAGCCTCTCAATTGAAATTCAAGAGCAGAGATTTTACTTCTGATAAACTGACAACAATGCATAAAGGCGGAGGCCAAGGAAAACTCGCACAGGCTGTAATCAGTAAAAAGGTGAATGGGAGAGGAGGATGTAGCACTTGAGAAATAGAGAAAGAGAACATTAGCAGGGACTGAAAAGACAAAACAACAACGATTTCAACACAGAAGAAGCAAAAGAGAGAAGCGTGCAGCACTAAGTGGTGTTTTCATTATGGTCTTCTTCCTATTCCTTATACTTGAAGCTGCAGAGATGAATTAGTTCTGATTTAATTTCACAACAAAAGTTAAGAGAGCAAAGAGATGTTTTTTTCAAAATAAAAGATCATGAGCTTATTGGTCTCAGCAAAACTAACATGCTTCTCAAACAACAGCATGTCTTTGATAATACTGCTGAAATTGGATAAAAATTTGAGATTAAACATTGAAATCGACTAATCAGTGCAATTTTTCAGTACTCAACTAACCCCTCCTGTTCTCTGCTAAGAGTCTTAATTTTATGGTCTTACAATCACAATGAACCACAAATGTGTTCAAATCTCATAGAAAAATGAAAGCTTCCCTTTTCCTTGACACCTTTACAATAGGAGTATTTTTTAGTGGCTGAAAAGCTAGAGCTTATGGAGAGGGGTTAGAACATTGTAAAAGGGTAAAGAAAGAACAGTGTCTTGAAAAAGAAGGTTAGTCATAGTCAATATGATTATTTCCATTTCCATCAAAATAACACATTCAATATTTGCTGGAATTGTGCAGCCCTACTTCTCAATTTTAACATGTTTCCTATAAGATATCAGTATCCTTGAGTTTCCTTAAGGAAGCTAATGAGCATGCAACAGCATTCTTGCATAACTGCAAGTGATGTAGGTATCAAATGTCCACACACACTTTTGTCTATGTGGATGCTCTGGGGAAAAAATTATGTGCTACTCAGGGTGTTGATGACACCTCTATTCCCATCTGTCACTTGTGTTTCTTGAGTTACATTGCCTCCACTGCTCCCTCCGTGAACATGGACATGTAACAGCTGGTGTATAGGAAGATATAAGATCTTTAATTTTCTTAAGTCACTTGATAAAACTCTAAGAGGCTGGCTCTGATCACATTGCTTGGATGTCTGGGAATGTGCCCTGGGGATTTAAGGCCAGGAATGAACTGACCTCACAGAAGTTTTCAACACATGCAGATGCCCTCTAAAGTATTCTGTGTTCAGTATTAAGAAGCTCCTGAGCAATAAAGTCAAGGGTGAAGTACAGGTCAGGACCTGGTGTTTGGAATAAGCATAGAATGAAGTCATGTAAAGGACAAGGTAAGCCGTGATGATAAATTTTCTAAATGTCATTTGCTCATGCAGCCAAATGAAAACATTTGATATGGAGTAAAAATGAAGCATGTCTTTTTTAGCGAGCAAATCTGAACAGGCGCATTGGCAAAATCCATGACTCAGTGGATGACAGGAGAACATCTCTTTATTCAGAGTGTAATGATCTAAAAGTAAAAGCCTTTTTATGGCCTTTGGCCAAAATTAAGTCACTTCAAACAGTCAGGTGAAAAGTTGACCTGATACCCCAAAGACATGGTGTTATAGATTAAAAATCCTGTCCATCCTCAAACCAAAAATGAATATTGAAAGCTGACAAATACAATATTTTGACAGTGTTGGTATCCATTTTTTTTAATGTTTTTCCTTTGCTTTAGTCAGTGCTTGTGAGATTTAAACTGGTTGTAATTACCAGTATGCAACTTGGAAGTAGTTTTGTAGAAGAAACTCTTTCTTTAGAACTAAACGATGACTTCAACAGACCTAAACATGACAGGGTGAAAATGTTGGCTGATTTGCAACTACTGCTTAACTACACAAAAGAGACTGATTTAATTCCTTTCTAAGCTGCTCTGGTGTCTTCACAAGGAAGCAACCTTACATTATCTTTCAAGAAACTAAGCAACTTTATTTGGCAATTTCGAATGTTTCAAAGTTGTAATTGTGAGAAAACACATAATTTCTCAAATTTTATTGAGTTTCATTTTATGAATTAAGTAAAACAACCATTAATTGAAACAAGCACTAATTTGATCATTAAACTCATCCAGGCAGAAAACACGAATGAAGTCCTGAAAGAGAAGGAACAGCAATGTTACTACTCTTTCAGGAGCAGTCACTTGTTAGCTGGTTCAGGTTTCAGATCATATTCTCTCAAAGATCAGCAAGATCAAAACTTTATGAGATAGATATTAGCAAGAGTTTTTTTTTTGCTGCAAACCAGTTTTTAGTTTTTGTTAATTGTTGACAATCTTCTTTTTGTTGATTTTCTTTCGACTGGTCAAACAGGTCAAGTACCAAAATATCTCATATTTTCCCCACCCTATAATACGTAAAACAACATAAACTGTGATGCACATTTTTGGGGACTTGTATAATAATTCAATCTATGCATCAATCAAATCCTTCAAGTCCCATTTTCCATTAGAGTCAAAAATTACTGCCTCAGACCAATACTGCCACTCCCCGCCCAAAGAAACTGTCTTTTTTTAACACGAAAAGACAAAACAGGTGAATCTATAGTCCAGATCAGAGACCCTAAAGCAATAAGAAGTGCAAAAACGTAAAAAGAGAAGGGATTTCTTGACTCAAAGCCCCCGTGCACATCATGCTTTTCATTTAGATGCAAGTCATGACCTCACTGAACTCTACCCCTGAAGCAAAGAAAACAAAGTGGTCACTACATGTATTTGCACACGGTGGCTTTGAAAAAAAAGCCACTCCTAAAATATTCATATACTTTCAAGAAGCCAAAGTCAAACAACAGCTTGCTTATGCACTGACATGAAACCAATTAGTGTGATGGAGTTTTCAAAACACCATAAAAACGCAACGGGCTGCGACGATGCACACAACCACGCCTCTCCTGGCTGATCAACAGCACTTGCTGGCCCGCTCATTAAAGCAGCAGGGATCACTTGGTTGGCTATCTTGCTGATTATAACACCGCTCTCACCCACCGCAGATCCATAATTCAAAGCCTGGATGTGGTGCGGTTTCACAAGTCACCCAGCCCTGGGTGCTCTCCCTCCAGCGTTATGTGCCAAACAGAAAATGTTGCCAACATAGGCAACAAAAGTCAGAAGATATATGGATGATTGTAAAGGTAGAGGCTCATTACATCTAAACAAAGGCTTAAGTCACTAATAACGTGGTGGTTAGCTGCTGTCACTGGTGCTGCGATGAACAAAACAAGAGACTAAATTGTTTGCCTGTATTTTAGATGTGCATTTGCACTTCTTTGAGATTAACCATGAAACTAGCTGGTGACTGAAAGTTCAAATTGGCAAAGCAGAAACTCAAAAATCTGATCTTTTTCAGATTTTTCTGATTAAATGATATCAGTAGAAGAGGAACTGAATAGTAATATGACATTTCATGGTGTATTATTTTTCTGTGCCAAAATAGTTGCATTATAGAATTTTTTTTCCAAA